ATTCCTTCCAGCCTCTTCCCTGTGTCTGCCCTGTCCTCTCTGCCCAACCGAAACTCCTCACCCAGGGCTCCTCACATGTCATGCTTTTCACGAAATCGGCTCTTGGGTACAACAGAGCCCCGTGCTTTGTGGATCCCCATCCCCTCCCTCACCTTCAGTGCTGCCAGAGACCCCGGTCACCCAAGCACCAGAAAACAAAGATGCATAAGGCCTGGTCCTTGCCCTTGGGGGGGGGGGGGGTGGTGCTCACAGAGGAGGAAGACAAATGGCAGTCTGGCGAAGTTCAGTGCCCTGAAGTCACACTGTGACAGGGTTTCCAGCAGAGGCAAGGTGGATGGTGACAGCCAAAGAAGCAGGGGAGCCTCATAATTAAGGCAGCTATCAGCTCATGTAGCTCCCAAACAGCTTCGCCCCACATTGAGCACTGAGGACTGCATCCAACCTGGGAAACCCTGGAGACCGGTGGAGTGACCTCTCCGGGGGCCCTACTGCCTGCATCTCGGCAAGGGTCTGAGTGTTGCCAAAACCTGTCTTTGGCCAAACCTGGATCAGTCTCCTCTGACCCCTCCTCTCCATCAGGTCTCCACCTTAGACTCTGTCCTCGGTCTGATTGGTTCAGTTTAGCAAGAATCTTGCTGGGTTAGTTTAACGAAAATCCCCTGGCCTCAATATCTGACCAATTCCTCATGCCCCTCCATCAATACTTATCACCCTGGCCTGACTTCAGCAAGAACCCTGTCACGTTGGCTTAACCAGATGTTACCTTTGATGTTTCCCCTTGGTAATTTTCCATCCACTGACCCTCCACCCCCACCCAGCTGAAAGTCCCCACTCATCCTTGTTATATTTGGAGTGGAGAAGTAGAGCCCCATGTCTCTGCCCCACTGCAACCCCCCCGCCATTGCAGTGGCCTCTCTTGAATAAAGCTTTCCTCACTGCCTATACCAAGTGTCATGAAAGATTTTGTTTTAACAATGTGGATCTGTCCATTGTCGTGTCATCTCCCCAAGGCTATGGACCCTGTCTTTGCTAGGTTTTGTAGCAGCCTCACTCACACATCGCACACATCTGATTCATTCTCAGAGTGTGAAGGTCACCAAACCACAATCCCCCATCACTGCCTGCAGCCCCACTCCTGGCCTTGGAGAGTGCCATCTCTCCTTAGTGCAGAGGGAAGTTCCTGAATCCTGACAAACCCAGGATCAAAATCCAGCTCTTCCTTTTACTGTCAACCCTTGGGAGGATCAGACCACCTCTTTGGGCTCAGCACCTGTACCTACACCTCAGAGCCACTGTGGGGTGCAGCGATAACCCAGGCACATACCAGCACTTTCCCAGGAACACAGGAGGTGCTCAACATCAGGTAGGTACTCTGAATTCCACCAAGAATACAGCAATGACCCCTCCCTTTTTTCTAGGGGCTCTGTGTACTACAAAGCATCTTCTGGTTCACCATTTCTTTTGATGCTTTGGAGCTCCCAAAGTGCTGCCTGGACCCAGAGCAATGGACATGACCACTGGAAAAATACTTGCTTCATCCCACGAGGCTCTGATGGGAGAGACCCAGGGCCAGGCTAAGGGAAGCTCTTGGTCATGGAAGGCCATTTCCATCCATGGTTCCACAAGGATCTGCAAGCTCAGGCCCTGCCAGAAGAATGCCCCTAGTGCCCCACAGTAGGGTTGAGCTTAGCCGATACCTGCTCTGAATCCCTCACTTCAGTGCCCCAGACTCACCAATAAGCGAGAAGGAGTGTTTCTGACAGTCCCCGGCCAGGAGGTAACTGCAGTCTCCCATAAAGCTGTACATGCTTTCATCAAAGGTGTTGATGAAGTCACCTCCAAAGAGGCTGCATCGAGCCATCGACGATCTGCCAACAGTCTCTTTTGCACAAAGGATCCCTGGAGGGAGAGACTACAGGTGAGCACAGCTGGGACCATCCAGCCACTGCAGCCTTGTGCCTAATAAAAATTGGGCTGTAGGGAAGTATTTTCCATCCCAAGCAAGACTAAAGCTGTTGCTTTTGGGGGCGCTTGGATGGCTTAGTCAGTTAAATGTCCAACTCTTGATTTTGGCTCAGGTCGTGATCTCATGGTTAGTGGGTTCAAACCCCATATCGGGCTCTGTGCTGATAGCACGGAGCCTCCTTAGGATTCTCTCTCTCTCCTTCTCTTTCTGCACCCCCCCCAAAATAAATAAACACTTTAAAAAAAAAGTGTTGCTTTTGGCCCTCAAAAATGACCCAGGACTCGCAGTAATAACAGAGGAACAGCTTCTCAGAATATCTATTTGTTTTAATGACATTTACTTACTAATTTAAAATGTGATACATGCTTTATCAGAGAAAATTTGGGGAACACAGAAAAAATTCAATCAAGGTAAAATCATCATTAACCAATATTCCTTGATAACTGGACTTAACATTTTAGTTTTATCCTTCTGTTTCACAGCATATGGATATATAATTACAGGTTTTCTACAAATTTGTGATCATCCCATACAAACTATTTATAACCTGTTTATTTCTCAATGTATTGTAAAGAATTTATCATGCCATTGTGTATCCTTGCAAAACATGTTTTGCAGTGACTATAGCATATTTCACATCTAAATGTATACATTTATACATTATAATAATATTAACCCTATTATTAGGTGCTTAGCATTTTTCCAAATTTTTTAAAAGGTTGTAATGAGCAACCTTTTACATTAATCTACTATATCTTGAACAGTTTACATTCAAACAAATTAGCTGGTGTGTCTAACACACAGAATCTATGGAGTGTTAACTCCTTTAGGGCCATAAGCTAATTCCTCCCAGGAGACCCTCTTACCACCTTCACACTGTGTGTGTGTGTGTGTGTGTGTGTGTGTGTGTGTGTGGTCAGGTGGGGCACCACAATAGTAAATTTTTAAGTTTTCTGGATCCCCTGGCACAGGAACCATCTAGTAGGAAGATGTAGAGGGTATGAAAAATATACATTTTTTTCCCCGACACTAAACTGTGAGCAACAGGCTGGATTCTGCTGACCTGAATGATCTAAGTGGGGACAAGCCAGAGTCAGAAAAGGGTCCCTCTCACCATTCACAGACTCAGTATCTCAGCAAGGGAAGCAAGGCACTGTAGTCCAGTGCGAGTGGTGGTCTAGGACCCAGGAGAACTGACCTCTGACCTTTGCTTTATGTGACTTTGGAGCATTCATTTTTCTTCTCTGACCCTCAGTCTCTTCATCTGTACTATGGGAGATTCCACTAGATGACCTCTGCAATCCCTTCTAAAACTAGTCATCTGTCCAAGTCTTGGGTTCCTTCTTCCCCATCCAGCAGCCACATCATAGAAGACTGTTCTGTGTGACCCCTGTGCTTCTTAATTGTCCAGTCAGAGAAGGCATTTGCAGGTAGCTGCTCCTTGAGGAATACAAGTCAGGGGCAAGGGGCTCTGAAGAACCTTCACAGGAAGAATTAACCAGTGACTCTGGCAGGCCCAACCCAAGCCTAACACGGGACTTGGCACACAGGTGAGCTCCAGACGCACCTGCTGATTCCTGGAAGGGAGTTGTTCCAAAAGACCCTGAGGCAGGAGTAAAGAACGGAAGCACTTCAGTACCCACCTGGCAAGGTGAGGGCCAGAGCAAGCAGCACTCTCGCAGGTCTGGCAGGAAACATCTGCAGAGAAGCAGGAGAAATGACTGGTGATCACTGCCCTCACAGATCATTGCTGGGATGTACTACTGTCCGTGTGTGAAGTGGGAAGAACAGTTTCTTTTAAGCAAGAGAAAAGATTGATCCTTCCCAGCCCCTGTTTGCCCTTGAATATGGAAGACTGGTCCCCAAAAAAGCCCCTGGCCAGGCCCAGGCCCAAGAGTAACAATCACTGTGAGCCAGACCCCAGGCATCCTTCCCCAACCAGCAGTCCCAGAGCCCAGGCAGGCGAGGAACTAGGCCAGCCTGGCCTCTCACTCCCCTGCACTCCTGCAACAGCTAGGAGCCCATGCGTACCTGATTCCCTCCTGCCTTTTAATCCTTCCACGCTCGGCAGCAAGCTGGGGAGAAGAAGCTATCCTATGCTCTGTTCCTACCACAGGCACCCAGATGTGGAGAATGCTCAACAACCACATTTGTAGGTCAGTCCCCGGCACTATACCCCTGCTCAGGCAATGTGTGTGGGGCCGAGCTGTTAAATGGACAGGAGTCCAGTAGCCCGAGCCCAGGAAAGGCTCCCATCGTGTGCCCCCCTCCAGAAAGAGAGAATCGACCCTGACTTCAGAGCCCACCCCAATCCCGTAGAGCCCCCGCCACAGCCCTCTCCTCTTGTTAAACAGGTATAGACTCTTATCACCTGAGATTTACTGGGGGTGACTCCTTTCCTACTCGGTGCCTCATCCAACCCAAGAGAGACAAACCCAGTCTGTTATATACCTGCGGAAGTAACACTTGGATGACATCAGATATGGCCACGTCTTGGTCTCAGAACGAGTGACCCTCTAAAACCTCCCAACACACAGGTATGTCAGGCTGCTCTCAGATTACACCCAGAGGTGAGGGCAGAACTCCTTCCAGTCTTGCCTCGTCAAGTAGTACAAGCAGTAGCACCACCACGAACAAAAGCAGCCACAGGACTCCCCAGGGACAAGTGGAGAGTGGGCCTTAGGAAGGTCCCTGGCTCCCTCCAAACAATCCCTTCTAGCCCCGGGACAGAGGACCCCGGTTCCCCAGGGTAAGGCCCAGTCCTGATCTTCCTCCCCCAATTGAGCCAGCCCTGTTCCCAAAAGCCCAGACCTTTCCCTGCAAGCGGGGGCCGCAGGTATCTCCAAGGTCCCTTAGGAAGCCCAGTGCCGCACGATGGTGCCGCCGGCCTAGGCCATGTTCCCCAGCAGCTGAGGCCAATGGGACTGCTCGCAGCTCTGGACTGTTGCTGTTAAGTGACCCAGGGGCTGCGCACTCCCGGTGGCCAGGGGGAGATAAAGGCCAAGTTGTGACGTCCACCAGCCCCCCCTCCTTTCCCACCACAATAGCTGTGAGCTGCCACAGCAGGGCATTGGCCTCCTGTTAATTACCAGAAGGAAACAATGAGCGGAAATGGTATTAGAAATACCTCCAAGCCGATAAGGCTTTGAAGAGTTTGGTGGGAGACCTCGGCCAGCTGCCATAATGGGCTGCCTTGCCCTCCCCACGCCCCCCACACCGCAACCACGATCCTGCCCACACACAGGATTCCATACAGACAGGGGACGACCACGAACTCTGGCCGGCCCAGGGCAGGCTGGCCCAGGCCAGGGAAGAATCCAGACCTGATCAACACAGCTTCTGGATCCGGCTTCCAAGGCCAGACACCGGGGAAGTTTGGAAAAACACCTCAACGTGAGCCAAATTGGTGGCTGTGTTTGGAGAAAGAAGAGAATGATGCTTCCTCTCCACGCTAAGGTATGAATGATGCAGTCCCGGCCCTGACAAAAACAGGCCCTTTGACTCACAGCTAGTGTCCAGGGACAAGGTAAGGATGAGGGGCCTGGACACAAGCCCAGGCTTTTGGAAAATGGTGGCCAGGACGGTTTAAATCTAATCCTCCCCCACAGACTCTTCTTCCCACCGCTGGTGCCTGACTCCTCCCCGACCTTACACACACCCCACACATACACGCACACCACACCCCCAAGCACCACATACATACACCTCACATACAACACACACACCCCACATGCACACACACCACATACATATACTCACACCCCCACCATACACACATATTACACACACACACACCACACAGGTGGATACACATATGTATATCACACACACCATAACATACACATCCTACACACACCACACACATACCACACGCACATACCACACCTACACCACACATGCACACACATCACATACATCACACACACACACACACACACACCAACACCACACACACCACATTCACCCCTCACACATCACACACATAGCACATTTACTACCTACCCCAAACACATACACAAAACCACACACACTACACATACCCCACGCACATACACACACTCATGCACACGTATACCCCAGTCGTTCTTCCCAATTTCCCATTCCTAAGAGCCTAATTCTCTGCATCATCTGCTAAACTCATTCCTGCTAAAAGACGTCGCTGATAAAATAGAGGAGGAAGATGACTCTCTCATCGTGGGGTTCCAGGCACGGTGACAGGCAGCCGAAGACAGATTTAGGTGAAGAAGCCCACATCATTGCTTCTCATGGATCATTACCACTTGCCCTAAGACTCTGGGAGACCATTAGTCCCCAGCTTCCCCACTTCCCATACCTCATGCTCTACCACTCCCTTTCGCACCCAGGAGAGGAGGACGAATGTTCCCAAGAAAGAAAACGGCAGTAGAGGCAGAATTAGTATGGTAGAGTAGCAAAGGTACTTAAGGATTTCCATTTCTAGCTTGTTTTTTGTTTTGTTTTGTTTTGTTTTACTTGATACCTGAAAATCTGCCCACTGTGAAGTATCATTAAATGCCGTGTCAGGGACACCTGGGTGGCTCAGTCAGTTAAGCATCAGTGTCTTGATTTCGGCTCAGGTCATGATCTCACAGTTCGTGAGTTCCAGCCCCACATCGGGCTCTGTACTGACCGCGTGGAGGCTTGGAATCCTCTCTCGCTCTCTCTGCCCCTCCCCCGTGCACACACACGCAAGCTCTCTCTCAAAATAATTAAATAAACTTTTTAAATAAATAAATAAGTAAATGCCATGTAAATAAGACAAATGCTTTTTGAATGCACAGCTAAACTGGGAGCAAAATAATGAACACCTCCGAGGATCTAGGATCCCCAAGAGCAGGAAGTGGCGCAAGCCCACAGGTTTAGTGAGTCCAGGTACACTCCAGGCTTGAGGCCAGGCATTGCAAGAACAGGAAGTGAGGCTCTGGGCCTGACCCAGCCAGACAGCTGGACAAGACTCCTGCATGAAGCTGATACTTGAAGAGAACCCTTCCAAAGGGTGGGCCAGGAAAAATTCCAGCCATCAACATAGAAGATAAGGAGTTTGTCTATCTCCATTGGTTTTGGAGATGGAAAAGTAAAGTCTTTCTCTAGAATTTGTAGCCATAGGCCTACACTCATGCAGGTTTCAGGTTCAAATTGACATTACCACATGGTCCAGGAACTCCCAAGTTGAGAAGTTGACACAGAAGTCAGTTTTAGGCCAGTACCTGGGGCTCCTGGCAGAAACAAATTTTAAAAAATCTATCTAAAAAGCTAAACCTTCTGGGGAGCCTGAGTGGCTCAGTCGGTTAAGCAATCAACTTCGGCTCAGGTCATGACATCTCCGCTCCTGAGTTCGAGCTCCACGTCAGGCTCTGTGCTGACAGCTTCAGATTGTGTGTTCCTCTCTCTCTCTCCGCACCTACCCTGCTCGAACTCTCTCTCTCTCTCTTTCTCTCTCTCAAAAATAAATAAACACTAAAAAGATAAACCTTCTGGGGCACCTAGGTGGCTCAGTCATTTAAGCGTCCGGCTTCAGCTCAGGTCATGATCTCATGGTTCATGAATTCAAGTCCCACATCAGGCTCTGAGCTGTCGGCACACTTGGAGCCTACTTGGGATTCTGTGTCTCCCTCTCTCTCTGCCCCCTCTCTGGCTCATGCTCTGTCTCTCTCTCTCAAAAATAAACAAACATTTAAAAAACTTTTAATAAATAAAAAAATAAGAAAGATAAACCTTCTTCCTAGGTTATCCACAGATATCTGATATCCACAGATAAAGTTCTCTAAGGGATCACTTCACAATCACAAATGTCAAAACACTTGATAAAACAATCCACCGTGAGCAAGAATAGGCAGTCACGACCGAAAGCAGGATTAGATCCTCTAAGAACTTCAGATAATAAAGTGATCACATAGAGATGAAAAAAACCAAAGTGTTTCAAGGTATCATAGACTAAAGAACAGGAATTGAGAACACAAAAGAAAAAGACATAATGAGAAAAGAACAGGAAGGCTTGAAAAAGAACTTTAAGAAATGAGAATACATAGTAAATTCATTGAAAACTCCAAATACAAACAAGACATTCCTGAAGAAAACAAACTGCTGGAAGATAGAGCTGAGGAAATTATTCAAAGAGATAAGGAGATGAGAACAATGAGAGATGGGTTAAGAAACAGAATGAGAAAATCCAAAGAGAAATGCTGAGCAATTGTCCTTCAATGTAGACGTCTATATGCCGTGGCTTCGCTTGCATGCCTCCCCGGAAGCAGGCCCTGAGAATTCTAGTGCATATCATTTATTTGGCAGAGCAGGAAACACCAGAAGGGAAGTGGGGACGTGATATGGGGAAGGGAGAGCAGCCAGCAAAAGATGTTTCTGAAACAGCCGCCACGTGGGCATCTGAGCTTAATCCTGTGAGGAAAGTCTGGAGAAAGGGTGAGTCTCATGCTCAGAATTAACCCACTCTTGGGTCAAGAGAGCACGGGCAGTTCTAAACCTACACGGGTGATTAATTGTCAAGGGTTGCTCCCCAGGGGCACTAACTCCTCCACACCCTGATCCTCAGGCACAATGGTGCTGACTCCGGCAGGCTAGAAGAAACATACAAAGTTCAGAGGGGCATGGGAGAGGCATTCTGCCTAATTAAATTATCTTTCAGAGTTAAGGGAAAGTAGAGACACTTTTGAGAAAAATGACAGTGTGTTTAACATGAAGAGTCCTTTTGGAGGGGCACCTGGATGGCTCAGTTGGTGGCATCCAGCTCTGGCTCAGGTCACCATCTTGTGGTTGTTGGGTTCCAGCCCCGGGTCAGGCTGTGCGCTGACAGCTCAGAGCCTGGATTCTGCTTCGGATTCTGTGTCTCCCTCTCTCTCAGCCCCTCCCCCGCTTGTGATCTCTCGTAATATTTATTCATAAATAAATAAACTTAAAAAAAGAAAGAAACAAAGAAAGAAGAGTCTTTTCTGAGAGAACTACTAAAGAAAGTACTTCAGGAAGAAGGAAATTAAACCCAGAAAGAATATTCCAGAAGAAAAGGCAAACCAAGAAATTGGCAAATACAGAGGCAAATAGGAGCAGGCAGTGATTGCATAAAATAGTAACAATCAGGGACTCCTGGGTTGCTCAGTCAGTGACTTTGAGCCCCGCATCGGGCTCTGTGCTGACCGGTGAGATCCTGGAGCCTGCTTCAGATTCTATGTCTCCCTCTCTCTCTCTGCTCTTCCCCCACTCATGCTCTGTCTCTCAAAAGTGAATAAACGTTAAAACAAAATTAAAACAAATAATAACAATCACAATGATTAGAGAGTTAAAAAAAAAAAATAAGACAGAACCAAAATACCAGACAGCAATAGTACCTAAGATGAGGAGTAGGTGAGGAGCATGAGAGTATATTAATGTCCTAGAATTGCTCAGGAGAAAGAAAGACGTAATAACTGCAGACTTGGTTAAATCTACCATGAATACCAAAATTTCAAGAAATGCTATTAAAAGAATAGAATTGAATGTACTTTTCCAAACCAACGAGGAAAAACAAGAAATAAATAAAACTAGATTGACCTAGAAAAAAATAAATAAATAAAAAACATGAAAAGAGCAGAGCAAATAGCGTTTAAGCAAATAGCGAATTAAGATCGCACACAGGGGCAACTGGGTGGCTCAGTCAGTTGAACCTCTGACTTCAGCTCAGGTCATGATCTCCTGGTTCATGAGTTGGAGCCCCATGTCAGGCTCTTGTGCTGACAGCCCAGAGCCTGGAGCCTGCTTCAGATTCTGTGTCTCCCTCTCTCTCGGCCCCTCCCCTGCTCTGGCTCTGGCTCTCTATCTCTCTATCTCTCTATCTCTCAAAATAAATAAACATTGAAGAAACAATTTTTTTAAAGCACACAAAAATCCAAATATTGGTGGGGTGCCTGGGTGGCTCAGTCAGTTAAGTGTTCAACTCTCGGTTTTAGCTCAGGTCAAGATCTCACAATTCATGAGTTCAAGCCTCACATTGGACTCCGTGCTGACAGTGCAGAGCCTGCTTGGGATTCTCTCTCTCTCTCTCTCTCTCTCTCTCTCTCTCTCTCTCCCTCTCTCTGTCCCTCACCTGCTTGCTCTCTCTCCCAAAACTTAAAAAAAAAAATTTTTTTTTTAATCTAAACATTGTTAATCAGCAGTAAAAAGAAAGATTCTCAGACTGGATTTCTTTTAAAAGTCACACAATCCAGCAACGTTCAAGAGACAGACCTAAAACATGAAGACACAAGACTGCACAGGGAAAAAAAAGCAAAAGGTCATGGTAACCAAGAGAAAGATTGTTATACTACCATCAGACAAAACAGACATAGGATAAAAGTCATCTTTAGACATAAAGAGGATAAAAAGTTGGTGAAAAGATGAACACCCCAGGAAGAGATAATTATAGATTTATGTGCACTTCATGATATAAACTCCAAAAGTATTTTAAAAATTAT